GGGGAAGTCCGCTTTAATGTGGTATAAGGTGTGATGAAAGAAAGATGCGAAAAAGGTGAACAGACATCCGGCTTTAACATTTTCTTACCCTACTTCCGTCAGTGAAGATGCTGTGCAAGTCGGTGCAGGCCAAATGGTGAGTCATCTTAGTTCTAAGTTGCGTGGAGTATGGGCTGCACCTAGCTCATCAATGTCTCCAACACGAGCACGAGCAGGAAGCCCAGCCTCTTAACAGTAACCAGCAAAGCAAAGCTACATTCTCCCTTTCTTTCATTAAAATAACTATGATTTACCTAGGAGGACATAAAAAAAAAAATCTGGAAAATAACTTTTGTAAATTCTTAGCTCTGACCAATGTATCCAGTTTAGCAAATATTTACTGAACATCTACTATATGCTAATGAAATTAGAAAGCCACCAGACTAATAATGGACTGAAGGTATTCCCTGGCTTTTAGAGTGTCAGAATTTAGTGAGGGGAAGACAAGTTAAAAAAAAAAAAAAAAATCACAAGCTTGAAAAGAGGTACGAATGGGGCTTTTAACAGAACAGTGGAAGAAGTGCTTAAGTCAGCCTGGGGAGGTCAGGGAAGGCTTTCTGGGCTGTCATGTTTGTTTAAGCATGATTAAGAGCTTGGGTGGAAGGCCAGACCTTGCAGAAAGATCTTCACATACAAAGGGAAGATACCAAGATTCTAGAAGGAACAGGAAAAGAGAAAATGACAATGATCATCCTAACTCCCTTTTACTGAGTACCTACTACCTGTGCCAAGCTCTGCACTTCATATATCTCTAGTCCTCACAAGACTCTAGCAAATTCTGTATTATTACTAACTGAGCCTTATCTAACTTACATCACCCAGTCTGCTTGACCCTCAATCATGTGCCATACTGTCCCTCTAACAACAAAAACACTTTGATCAGGAGAAAAAATAAATTACTCATAAGGATAAGAAGGTTAATTACATAAATCCCTTCATTTTCAATCTAAGGAACTCTTCCCAAGAAGAAAGAAAGGAAAAGAAGGAGAGACGGAGAGAGGAAGGAAAAGAGAACCAAATCCAAGGGACTATGGTTGATAAAATTTTTGAGTTAAAAAGGAAATCAATGAGGATGGTGGACAGAGCACAATTACATCAACTTTCTTATCCCCCCATAGTAAGTCCCATACTGTCTGTCAACCATACAGAAAGACCCATAAAATGTCACCAAAGTTCCACTCACTTGATACACAGTCAGAGTGCAATGAAGGAGAAAACCACAAGACCACAACTTCAGCAAAATTACTCACGAACCATACGCTATTGCCCTGAGGTGAGTTCACAGACTGTTTTAAGTATATAACATAGATACACCATACTTTCTGCACGAAGCATGATCCTTTGACATCGCAACATCCTCACATCAGTCTATAGTGCTCAGTGGCCCAGGAAGAGTTATCAATGGAAGAAATAAAAAGATCTGAGAATACTTAGCAGAAATGCTGTTCTGGGATTCAAGGGTTAGACAAGAAACCAGGCAGGGCAGATATTGAAAGCAGTTTCCTCAATTCCCTTTCATTTAGACTAGAAGAAGGCATAGATACCATTCCCCCTGAACAGCTCTTCAATATTGCTGGGGCAGGAGACCTACTGGTTTTCTTTCACTTATTGACAAGGTATTACCATCTGAAATGATGGTATAGATAGAAGCTAAACCTGCTTGTCTACACTCCTATTAGAGTCAAAGAATCCATGCAACGATGTTAAAAGTACTACTTTAAAGTACTAATTCTAAGTAGGCAAGGACTTCTTGACTATCTCATATGTTTTGCTTAGCATAAAATGCTTTAGGTTCCTCCTATCTACTCAGTGGCTCTTTAGTAGGGAGAATTTTACCCTGCAGGGGACATAAGGCAGTATCTTAAAACATTTTTGAGGTAACAAGTGGGAGGTGCTTCTGGTATTAGGTAGATAGAGATCAGGGACACTGCTAAACATTCTGTACCAACAAAGAATTATCAGGCCCAAAATGTCAACAGCGTGCTGTTGAGAAATCCCATCTAAACTAGAAGCAGAAGAGCAGAGGGTATGAAAATCACTCTTCAGATCCCTTTCTGGTGCATAAAAGGCCATATTCTGGATTTGAAATAACAATAAAAAATTCCTGTAGGATTGGCCATTCTCTTAAATGCCACAGGCAAATACTTCAGGTTGAACACTGACTGTAGACACTGGGCCCCGGTTTCCTGCCCCTATAAAAGAGAGAGAACAGATTCTTTGCTGAACTCTGAGGAACCTTTCCCAGGAAGTCCCTAACAACAGAGTTATACATGCAACTTGTGGTATAGGGTATGAATTTCCGCCAGAGGTTTTTCAGCCCACAAGGGCATTTACTGAGAATCTACTCCTGACCTAACAACAAAAACAATTTATTTCAGAAACACCTGAGAATTTTAATGAACACAAGATTCCAAATAGTCTTAGAATTGGAGACAACTGCATCTTAACTGGCAGCTTCCCAAACCTTTTGTATTGTTACTGCCTTTTACTGTCTAGTTCTAATTATTAATAATTATGCATAAAGACTGATGGAGCATTGAGAAATTTTGATCATTTAATTTTAGTCTTAGGAGCACCATTTCTTTGTCTTTAAGGAGAAAATGAGTCAATTGAAAACTAACATTCTAATAAAGAAGCCTTTGAAATACAGGCTATAGACAGAAAGACTGAGTCTGAAGACTGCAGGTCTTCTTTCTCAAAACAAGTATAAAGATAGGCAGTTCAGAGATAAGGTTAAATATGAGACACTGGTGACCCATCTCTTCCAGATCACACCTAAAGAAACAAAGGGTGGGTAAGAGTACGACTAAGTGAGGCACAGAGGACCAGCTTAACGGGCCAGAGGAAGGCAGAAGCAATCCTGGAAGAACGGTCTAACCGTAACAAACGCACCTGCAGGCTAAGGCAGGAGCATCTCACTACAAAATCCTGTAGGCAGGAAGCCAAGCTGAGCGGCATGTTGAAGGAACAACTGGGGCATTCTGGGGCAGGGTACCCACGACGACCTGGCTCAGTAGGGACGCCCCCGGTGTCCTCAGCACCCACACCCCTCGTGCGGTGTTGTCTCTTTTGGCAGAGAAGACGGTAACGCAGGGGTGGTCACAGACGGTCGGGCCTCAGACAGCTGGAGACTAGGAGCTCCGACAGGCCTCAGCAGAGCTGCCCAGAACCCCCGTCCCCCTCCCCGAGTGGGCACCTGGCTGCCAGACGCAGCCAGGGAGGGAGGCCCTAAGCGCCGACTTACCTATCTGCCCGATGAACTCGATCTTGATGCCCTGGTGCTCCAGCCGCTTGTTGGGGTGCTTTAGTGCAAGGCTCACCTTTCCGGAGACCGTCTCTCCATCGTAAAAGAGGAAATACTTTTCCTTCTTCCCATCCTCCGTCTTGTGCTCGGCACGCTTCCTACTCTCCGCATCGCTCAAAACGATCTCTACCTCCACGCTTTGCCCGAAGCCAAAGAAGCTCATCTCGCCGCCGGCCGGGTGGGCCGGGCTCTCCGGGGCTGGGGCTGGGGCTGCCCTAAGGGAAGATCAGCGGGCTGGACGCGCGGCCAGGCGTGGGTCGAGGCACGAATGCTTGCTCCACGGGGAGGGCAGGGCCGGCTGGGCGCCCGGAGCACGGATGCACCGCGGCCCGCCAGTCCCAAGCGGCCGTGAGCAGCCGGCGGCGGTGAGAGCAAAGGCTGCGGAGCAATTCTAAGGGGGCGGTGCAGAGCCCAGGCGTGCCAGCCGCTGCAGCCCACCGGGTGCGTTGCGGGCTGAGCGGCGAAGCGAGCCTGCCCAGCCTCCCGGGGTGCGACGCCCAGAGCTGCTCCAGCTGCTCCGGGCGAGGGGCTGGGGCGGGGGAGGCGGCTTCTAGCCGCGACGCGCCGGAGACGCTCCGCGCATGCGCATGCCTCGGCCTCTGTAGCTTTTGCCATCGGGCTGCAGGAAGGTGTGCTCACTGCGCTTGTGCAGTGGAAGAAGGGGAGCTAGTCTTTCCCTTAGTTGACATGGTAGCTACAGCCTCTTTCCAGAATTTGGGCCCACTTGTCCCGTAAAATTAACAGATCTGCAGATGTCCCTTCTGAATGCGTTTCCCCCTTGATTTCCCTTCATTGTTTTAGTTCGATAAACATTAGTCTATATCTACATTCGGATCTGTACGACGTTCGACTGTTTGATGGGATAGAGGTAGCCCTTTGACACGCATGCGAAATGTCACTGGATAGGGGGCAAAGGTAACGATTATTACAGGAAGTATCTTTTCTCAATTTCTCGTTAAGGTGCCCTCCCATTTAAGAAAAACGAGGCGGGAAGGGAGCTATTAGAATTTAACTTACTTCTTAACCCATACTATAAAGAGAAAGCTAAAAAATCGCCTCGTGGAACTTTGGCTTATCTAGTCTTTGGCCATCCCCATTCTTGGCGCAAGCGACAGAAGACCTTGCTGATTGGTTAATGAAATGAAACTGGCTTGGTGCGATGATTGGTCCGTGAGAAATTCTACATGTTGTGACTGGTCCTCAGGAACGGCTCGGAGCGCGCGCGGGAGCGAGCTTTGAAAGTTGACCACAGCGGAGGCGAGCGGGTTTCTGGGCAATAATGGTGGCGCTGCCGGGCCTTGGGAGCGGCCTGCAGCCCTGGTGCCCGTTGGATCTCAGCCCAGGTGAGGAGACGGGGCCTCGAGTCTCGAGGAGGCAGGGTTGTGGTGCTTTGCATCTGCGATGCTCTTCAGCCTGGGCCTGGGGTGGAGTGGGGGTAGGGAGCTCGGCTCTCAGCAAGGTCTGGGCCCTCCAGGTTTGTGCACTCCAGGACGTTGGCGAGCTGGGTCAAGAATAGGGGTTCAGTTCTGTAAAGTGACGTTTAAAAAAAGAGCTTATGTGGCCCTATATCATTTAGTTATTTTGAATTTGTTTTTTCGGCCCTCCCCTTCTTATTCTGCAAATTTGTACGCCTTTACCAGGATCACTTTTGAAAACACAAATGTGACCTGTCAAGTCTTTAACCCTTTAATCCCCGTTCGTTGCCTAAATGAATGACCAAATCTTTGGCCTGCCACATAAGAGCCTTCACCATCCACTGCAGTCTTTTCCAAGAGCATAATCTTTAGAGTCAGATACTGGCTCTACCGTTTAGCATCCACGGGAAAGTTGCTTAACCTTGCTAACACTTGCTTTCCTTATCTGTCAAATGGGGATTATAATATCTACTTCACAGAGTTTTTGTGCAGACTAATTTAGTTCTTGGTACATAGTAACTGCTGAATAAGTACTAATATTAACTCTCACCCTGCACATTTAATCTCTGTGCTGTAACTATTTTGTTCATTTCCAAACAAGTTATACTTTCTTAACCTTTGTGCCTTGTTACGCAGTTCTCTCTGTCAGGGATACAATTCTCTGCATTTCTTTCCCTGGTAAACTACCATGTTTAGATCCGAATAAAGAATCATCCTTCCCACCTTTGCCATCTTTCTCACTTCTGTCCCTCCCCCTCCCCCAGTAGTATTTTTTATTGTGCTTTCTAGTTTTTACATATCTATTACTATTTTAACATTGTAAAAATAGTAATAGCTGTTGTTCATTGAATTGAATGAATTTCCGACACCACATCTTTTCTTTTGGGATTTGGTAGTTGTGATCCAGAAATTAGATCAGAAATACTGATGTACATTTAAATTATGCATTTAAAATGTTTATGAAGTAAATGGGAGAATTATGAGAGGAAAAGAGGCCGGAAAAAATACAAGAACATTTTTAGGAAGATGATTATACTTGTTAGGAGAACGACCAGGAAAGAGAGTGAATATATAATTAACTAAAGCATTTTAAACAGTCAGTTCCATGGAAAGATTTTTTTCTAAGCTCTGTTGTCCTGTATTCTGTTCTTATGAATCCCAAGCCCTATCATTAATTTGAATCCTTTTTTTATTTACTTTCTTGAAATGAGAACCACCTGTTGATTTCTTCTACTTGAAATAATGTTCAGTTCTGTCCCTAGTATTTTATGGCCTTAACAAAATTTACATCTCATGGGCTTCTTTCTCTTCTTGTCATTCTTGCAATGCAGGTAAAATTAATCAAAGGAGGCTGAAAAAGGGGGATGAAGAGTGTCCCAGTGGGGTGGAAATGAATATCTTGAGCAACTGGAGAGTTAGTTTATAGGTGAAAGGAGCCATTTTACACAATTGCTTTGTGGCCACAGCAGGTACAGTGGCTTACCTTCTAGGGCTTTTTGAGCACCTCTTTTCTCAGAATTGATGGATTTTTTTTTTTCTGCAGGGAGAACTCTGATGCATCCTCAGGATGGATCTAAGGAATAACTCCTCATCTCAGTATTGTCCCTCAACAGCAAAGCTTCTGCCTTTGCAAGATTTTCTCTGTCTTGTCTTAAATAAACATTGATTTAATAAGAATTTATTTTGATCTTACAAGATATTAAACATGGTATTCAGTTAGTCTGTGATCCTCCAGACTATGTTCCCACTGAACACTTGTGATTGTGACCTGGTCTGCAGCTCAAATCTTGGTAGTCTTTTCCGGTTCACTGAAATAATGAAATTAGTGTATAGCATTTCTCATCTTTAAGCCTTTATTGCACAAGTTTTAGGACCAGGGTGCTAAGTACTTTCATAAAGAGTGAAACAGAAATGCCTGTTTCATTTCTCTTTCCTTCTCTTGTTTTCATCCTAACCCATCCCCTATCTCCAAGTAAATCTTTCCAATAGAATACCCTCTTTTTAACACTAATAGGTATTTATTATTATCTTCATCTTATAGATAAAGTAGTGAGGCTCAGAAAAGTTAGAAGTGATATGGCTAAAGTTATACAGATGATTTTAGAAGGAGGACTAGAAATCAGGGCCTTACTGCCTTCCAAATTTGATGTTACTGACAGTAGGGGAACTATTATAAGCAAAGCCGAAATAAATGAGAAGCCTTGGCTGCCATCTGCAATGGGCATTAAAACATTACTGGAAGTATAGAGACACAATTGTATTTTTCAGATCTTCTTTCAGGCAGCATATGTTATATTTTTGGAAGGAATTCTCCAGAAAGCCACTTGAGATAAAGAGTGAGACTCCCTCATCCAGGTTCAAGTTCAGGTGCAAAAGATGATGGACGAATTGTATTCTAAGAAAGATCTAGTTAATTGTAGGGTTTTCATTTGCTGAGTATAATGCTCTGAACCATGAAGAAAGGTTGAGGCCTACCATCTCTGGATATTCTCTATACCCTGCTCAAGTTTCCTGAATCAGTGATGAACAAATATTTAAAGAATATTATTTTGAAGGGGCACCTGAGATGTCCACACATTTCCATCTAGTCCTAATTTTCAGTTTTAGGGAATAGCAACAAAAAGATTGAGGAAAAATAAAAACGTGAGAAAGTTTAAAGCCAAGAGAGATTGGCAAGGAATCTAGCTAGAATGTTGCATTAATGTCACATTCTCAACATGCATTCTTTCCATTCGCGTATTCTAAAATTACCGAGTATTTCAATGAGCGCGAATCTGGCTTGTCTCTAAATTTCTTAGAGAAATTGTATCTTTTTTTTTTTTTTTTTTAACATTTTACATTATTCTCCAAGGGCCCAATAAAGTATTTTATTTGGGTTTACTAATTTAATTACAAGATTTAAGGGGGATATCTGGGGCAATCTTTGATTAACCTATTTTTTCTCCAGACAAGAAAGCCCGATCATGAAATGTCATTTCCTAACACTTTTATGTAAAGTGTTTTCCTTCTTGGTATTTTTAGATGATCAATCTAATAAGTGGATGTCAATTATAATTTAAAAAAAAGAATTTTTTAACCTTTTCTGCTTTCTTTAATTATGCTTCACCTGTATTATATAGTTAAATGTGAATTGTGACTAATAAACTTTTCTTGAAGGTACATAGACTCTAAAGATTCTTGGTTTTTTTACTTGTAGAACACTTACTGATTTAATTGCATTTTCCCACTAGAATGGGTGGACACAGTTTGGGAACTGGACTTCACAGAGACTGAACCATTGGATCCCAGCATAGAAGCAGAAATTATAGAGACTGGATTGGATGCATTCACAAAACTCTATGAAAGTCTTTTCCATTTTGCTACTGAAGAACATGGATCTACAGAGGTAAAAAGAAGAAAATCAAGCTAGCCATCTTTAAGTGTTAGAAGTGGAAGATTAAAGTCATTATTATCATCTAAAGCTTAGCCTTTTTAGTATACAGTTAAGAAGTATAAGAAGAGTAGCATAAAGAATGTGGCTCATTTATTGGAATATCCTAATGTCTTTCCTCCAGAAGGTTCAAGGTATTAATCTGGGATATTTTTCAAGTCATGACAACTTTTTACAACAGCAAATAAGAGAAAAAGAATAAAGGCCAAAACAAGGAAGGAAACCAGAAAAACCAAATACGAAAAGAAGGCCAGGAAAAATGCAAGAACAATTCAAGTATATCTTAACTTTTAGAAAATCTGATGTTATTAAACTGAGAAGTGGTTAATTGAATTACAATCAGAACAAAGAGTTCTTTTAAATACTGAGTTCTACCTAGTGCACTTATTAATATTTATCTTGTTAACTACTTTTCAAAAAACTGAAGGGCTAGGTACCAGAACAAAAATACTGAGACATTAACATCCCTGAAAAATTTAAATTTAAAAATGTTTCAGTTACATATTGCATATAGGTGTTCAAAAATTAAATCGTCTAGTCAAACATTCATTAAACATAATGGTATACCAGGGACCATCTCATTGAGAGAGTGCAGCATTAAGCACTGGCTCTTATAACTCCTACTCCCATTTCGCTGGCCAAAGCAAGTTCATTCAACTGCAGGGAGGTGGAGAAGCGCAGTACAACTGTGAGTCTAGGGGGAGAGTTGGAAATATTTGGTAAA